CGTTTAAATACTGGCTCCCTTTCATGGTCGAATGAGTGTTGCCAGCTAAAACACGTAAAAATAATATTAAAGTAGCCAAGACATAGCCAAATATTGTAGCGCCACATCACTAGCGGACATTTGAAATTTGCCGACTAGGACGGTCGGTTAACCGAGGGGTCGGTTGATCGAGGGGCGGATAATCGAGGTTCTACTGTAACATGTCTTTTAATTCTATATACTTTATATAAATTATATAGACCTACATATAAACAAGAAAAGATGTCAGAGTAGGCTATCAAAAATTCTGCATTCATATTCAACTTTTAATGGTGAAGAATATTTTATAAACTACTATTTCATGAAAGTCAATTTCACGTGTCAAAAATACAAATACATCCCAAATACTGTTTTATTATTACTGAATCAAATATAAAATTCTATACTTCAAGTAGTATTAAAATTAATTGAAAAAATAAAGTTTGTCTTTATTTGACTTAAATTTCTGTGGCTATTTAAATGTATTAGAGGATATGCTATAGTTTTTCTAATTATATTGTCACAGATACGAAATGAAATACAATATAGAAAAATGCAAATGCACCTATTTATTAAACAGATATACGGAAAGAGAAAATTATGTACAACACAATACGTAGCAATATAACAGTTTTAAACCGGGACATCAAAATGCAATTCATACATTTGCGATTTTCCTGTGAGTTGTAAATGATTTCGAGGTATTACTGTATACGTTTCCAGTTATCTAATTGGTTCTGAAGTGGTGTAAAAAATGTCACTTCTCACCAGATTTGCAATAGCCAGACTTAAACCCGTCACAAAACACTTGTTCGGCATTTTCTTGTTTCTTTTTCTCGCAGAAAAAAGTGACAAAAATACTTGAAAATGACAAAACTATCTACTTAACCAAATAGATAACTCATATAATCGCCGCAAAGCGACTCGACCGCCAGCTATCGGCAACCTGATACATTACTTTAGAACGTAGCTGAGTGACTAATATATCTATCTATTCTGATAACAACTTAAAATTTTATAAATATTTATATATTAACAAACTGAAGTGATGCTGTGCTTACTGTTAACCTTCCAGTATTAACTTAATACTGGAAAGTTAACAAGCTGAAACGTTTTCATCACTCGATCTACAAAGTGTGATAAGTCTAGAAAAATTAGCCAAATTTAAGCCATATTAAGATATATTAATCACAGAAAACAAGCAAAAATAATTAGAGTAAAATTTAATTTGGAAAATTTTGTAGTGTTTATTTTCCTTTTTCTTTGGAGGGTATAAGCCTCTTAACCTCCCTTTAGGTACACCATTGATCTTTCGTAAACAACTACCTTATTTTAAATAAGGAAAATTAAGTTATATATTAATGAACCAGCGTATTATTATATTAAAATTAATCTGATCTGTGGCTTGTCTTCTATAATTAAGCTATACCTTGATGTTACACGTAGAAATAATTGCATTTACTCTTCAGCTTATCGACTTAGCATAATAAAAATAAACGGAAATTTGAAGATAATAATAATAATAACCATTATTATTAACTTTTTACTTTATAATTAGCAAACTTAATTTTAATTTTTATTAAAAACATAAGTGTGCATTTGATTGTATAGAATTACAACGTTAAAAAACTATTTTCCTAGATTTGTAAAAGGAATAATAGGATATTTTTAAGAATTATCTTTGCATTTGAGGATTATATAATGAATCTGTATTAAAATATGAATTATATAATAAATACATTTAGAAAATCAGCCTTTTTTAAGGGGAGACCTTCTGAATTATATAGGATCAGGTGAGTGAGTTTTATCCATTTTCTCAGTGCCCTGCCAGCTTCCTCCTTTTCTTTTAATGCTTTCCTACATCTATCCTTTCCACCTCTTAATCCGCATAAGAGATGGAGAAGATAGATGTAGGAAAGCAGGAAAGTAACCTAAATATCTTCCCAGAAGTTTTAAATCAAAATTCTTTCTAGCTAATCTGGTTAGAACGGTGTTTCTATTTGTGTAAAGTATATTAAGTCACAAAATGACATTTATACAGGTTTAAAACTAATCTATGCAAGTATAAAACAAGATAAAAATTTCATTCAAGCGCAAAAATTATTTGCTGTTACGAAAGGTCAACAATTTTCTCATTATTTATGGAAGAATAAATTATTTTAATGAGTTTTAAAGTAATTAAAATATTAAATATAGTTGATAATAATTAAAAATCTTTATCAAGAGATTATATTCTGTGCAGTGATAGAAGGTAAAAATTGTAGTACAGACGTTAAAAGTCGAAACTTGTGCATAGTAATTAACGTTTACACTTGTAATTCTATGTTATTGTACTACATCCTGACAGGTGTAAAAATGCAAAAATTTCTTTTCAGTTATATACATTTACATTCTATTTAATTATAAATTTATAATTAATAAGTGCTGCTACATTTTGAAGCATTTAAGCATCGAGCAATTAACAGTGAAGACATTTTGAATAACAATTAAAAGACAGTTAAAAAGAATAATAAAGATATAGCAATTTAAAAATAATTAAAAATAGCTGAAAATCATTTATAATTGTAAGATAATTTAAAATTCCATAAGTTAAAAATCTTAATTTAATTCGATTAATTAACTGTTTTCTAGCATAAAGGCTTAATCGCGCCTTCTACTGGTGAAGATTTATTTATAAATAAAATGATAATTTTATATTAAGGGTATTTACAAATTCTAACCACTTATAAAAGACAATTTCGCACATTTACAACGATTAAAATAATTAGTAATGTTAATTACAAATGTAAAATTCAGTAAATTACATCTGGAAAAAGAATTTTGAGTAATAAAAAAAAAAAATGCAAATGGAACTTATATAGTATTTTTTATTAAGCCACTCACAAAATATTGAGCTCGTCCTCCTCAGGAAACCATAAAATTTTATTGATAAATTTGTGAAAAACAATAACGACAAACATTTATATTACTTTTGCATCGTGTTTTTACATAAAACACTAAATTTTTGGATTTCTCTAAGGTGCCAATCCGTATAATAGCACTGACACTGGTGGTGGGTACATACCCGATTAACCACGACCACGTGGAGTCTTCACGTGTCTAACACATGAATATGTACCCCTTCTCTACATAATGTAAGCACTTTTTTGAAACACCCTGTACTTGGTATGGAAGCATAAGACAACAGAAACACACTGTTTAAAGCCGTTTGATCGTTATTAACTGTATATAAATAAATATAGAAGAAAGTAATAATATAAAAGTGTAAGTGTATATCTATAAACGGCGAATTATCCTTATCCATTGTTTATTTTATATACAATTCATAATACTTCCTCTTACACAGGAAACCGATCTCGTTTTATCATCGCGTTGACAACGAGACGATATTTACTTGATGCAGGGAGTCACACGCGCACATAACGTCCCTGCAAAAGCGTTGGCGTAGCTTCAGACGCTGCGCTTTATCACAAACATGCTGGCAACTATCCCTTCTAGACGTATGACAGCTACACTATTCAACAGGTAAAACGGCTTTACTATGAAGACAAGTACGATCGCGCCTCAGCAAACCGAATCAATTTCCGAGAAACCTATTAATAATAGTAAGTTTACGAATATCACTGGTGTTATTTATTTTAAGTTAGTTTAATTAAATCTCTTCTATATAAGATTTAACCAAACTTAAAAATATTATAAAATGCTATAATTTTCTAAAATATTTTATAAAATAATTTTAAAATTTTTCGATTTAAAGCTTATAAAACGTTTAGCACTGGTAAAACGTATTTTAAAAAGTAAACTTAACACACGTGTAAACGTAAAGTTATAATTTATTTACATTAATTAACAGAGATTCATATATACATTTTTTTTTTTTTAATTAAATGTAGGAAAAGTTTATTATTATTCATCAACATTTATGACATGGCATGTAATTATGACATGGCATGTAATTAGAATATGAATAATTAATTAATTTATGTGAATTTGTGCCATAAAAATCAGTTTTAACTCAATTAAAAATTAATTAAGTTTATTTACTTAATAATAAATACAATTATTAACAACTTTTTAGTGATTTTATGATGATTTTTTTTTAAATTTTTATCATCAAAAAAACAACATTTTATAGATAATTTATCTAAAAAATTTAATTAGTAACTGAGTAAAATTGTAATTTTTTTTGTTTTTTCAGTTTTTAATGGTTGCTATGGAAGTTTTTAGTGCAATATCTAATTCTGAAGAGTAAAGTAAACATGCAGGATGTCAGAGAAATGCATATTATAATATAATAAAATTTTAATATATTTTTTTATTATTTTTACTTATTCTATCTTCAAATATCTTATTTTTACTATCTGATTCATCCTATCTGCTCCTTTTCTCTTCCTTTTTTTTTTTATCCTTTTTCTCATTCCCTCATTCTTTTCCTTTCTTCAGTTTAGACACTTGAATAGGCTCTACTCCACTCCCTATTAATAATAATAATAATAATTATCCATATATTTGCAGATTATTAATAATATTAATATGCAAATATATGGATAAGGATATCCTAGATTTTTATATTTATAAAATCCTTAGTATATTCAGTATACAAGAAAAAGTTATAAGAGAAGTGCAAGAACTCTTATATAATTCACTTCTCTATCATAAAAAATAAATCTTTTCACTGTAAATATATAAAATTTAACTTTATTTACATACATTTTTGTATAATATAAAAAAATAAAAAAAGAGAAAAAAGAAAATTCTAATTATTTAATATTTTATATAAAAATTGGAATAATTCATTATAAGAACGTTTTTGCTTATTAAATAAGCATATTTTCATATTTTCTTTATATTGCNTGATTGCAATCAGTGCAAAATGTAGATAAGACAGTTTATGCATTGTTTGGATGTTCATTATTTTAATCAATAATGAAGCAGTTATTTACATCATTTTATGTACTGTTCTATGTATAACAAAGAATTTTTATATTGTTTTACCATATTATTTGAGCTTTTGAGTTCTGATTTATATGATAAAACAAGCTGATTCTTATATTGTCTCATTCTATTGAATTTTTTATGCACTTTTCTCTACAGTAAACAAGCAAATTTTCCTACTTTTCTCTTTATAACATTTGAATTCTATATATTTTATATAATAAACACAAAAAAAATCACAGATTTTTTATATATGGAATAAGAACTTCATACATTTATAAACTTCTTAAACTTTCATATGTATTGTAAACACTTCATGATGTAGAATCATTCGTTACATACAAACGAAGTGTAGGAGCTTTAGGAAATAAATTTATGGTGTATATATATATTTTTTATATCAATATTTACTTACTTTTCCTATTATTAAAGTTATTATGTCTTCTATCAGAGAATGATAAGTACATAAATTTGTGCTGCTTACTTTATAGAAGTAAAAAAACATCTTTAAAATTCAATTTCTTTATAACTATTGGAGAAAATACTAGAAAACATATTTATTTACAGAAGAAAAAAATTCATTTTAAATTTTAAAATATTTTTATATGATATTTTCATACATTTAAAAAAACTTTATAAATTTATAATCCTTTAATTGGTGTTGGCTCTAGCCATAGATAATCTAGGTTTTTGCTCTTTTTCTCCCTCTTTCTTCCTTAGAGCACTAACATCATCCTTTTTTCTGTGTCCATTGTATGTTCAACTAGACCCATAATGGATGGCTGAGTGATGAGAGATGGGCCCAACATATCCAGGACAAACTGCTAATGACACATTCCTCGGGTTTTTCAACCATCCAAATTTGATCTCTGATCCTCAGAGAAGTAGACTAGTGCCTTAACCGCATTGGCCATCCAGCTGTCACTTAGACTTTTGCCTAGGACATGATATTTTTAGAAGACTTAGAACAGAGTCATTGAGAAGGGAGCACTGGAAATTTTTCCCCAAGCCTGTAGAAAAATTAGAAGTCCAAAATATTATTATAAATGTAATGTTAACCCCTATTTGTGGTTAACATTACATTTATGGTACTTATATTATAAACCTTTATATATTTTAATAATGATTAATTTATAATAATTACAATTTTTTACATCTAAATCACTTTTATCATATGACAGAAAAGTAAAAAAGCTTTAAAAAAAAGTTGTTTTTTATATAAAAATTAATTGTAAATATTATAAAGGTACAGTATTAAGAAATATTAAAATTAAAAATATTTTTTTACAATAATAATACTCTTAATAATAAAAAAAAAACTTAATACACTTAAATTACATTTGTTTTGCTAGACATTTCTATAAATCCTAATTATGTTATGCTTCTAAATAAAAAGAAAAACATGTTAAAATATCAAATTTAAAATTGAATTAATTGATTGTTATACTTTTATGTAAAAGAAATAATAAAAGAATATATTTTTTTATATTTGTATTGAACACAATAATTGAGTTAGACATGTGTTTAAGGCAGTCTGATTTATGTATTATTAAACGAAAAATTTCTGTATTGAATTTTTTTAAAGGACAATATTTTTTATTTAAAATTCCTTTTATGTAATTCTCTACAGAAAAAAAAAATTTTTTTAAGAAGTTCTAAAAGCAAAGTTGAAATTTTTTAAAGTAATAAATTATAAAATTCTTTAATATTTAATAATGAAAATTTTTAGTAATTTTTATTAACTAAATTATTTCCAAATTTTTATTTTTCTGATTTTTACCATATGTTCTACTTTAATCTTGCCGTCTTTTTTTAAAGATAAGATTTTATTTAATTAATTCTATATTTATAAAAATTTTATGACAATTTCATTAAATTTTTGCTTATTATTAAAAACTGTAAAGTATAAATAATTATACATAAATTCTATTAAATTCAGTAATTTCAACCAAATTAAAAAAACACCTGAAGCAAGTATTTCTGTTAGAAACTATAAAATTTATTATTTACTTATCAGCTGCTGTAAATTAAATAAACCAAATATATTTAATCAAGTGTACAGCGGAATCAATATCAAGGCTACAGGAACAAGAACTCTTGTTAATTTAATACTTTGACGTGCTAGAAGGAAGCTTAAAAAAGTATAAAAATTATTAATACAGATGCAAAATATTCTCTGTATCCGATAAGATACATATAACGTCATTGCCCTGGTAGATAGTTCATTGATTAAACTAGCCTATCTTCATCTTGAAGGACAACTTCCTAACATACTTTGGCAATAATGGGTGCCATGACATATGGTGCAGAAATTTTTCAAATTTAGATATAAAATATGTAATTAGTGCTTATTAAATTTATTCATTATCTATGTTGGTTGTATAGAAAGTGATTTTTCTATTTATAATTTATATATAAGGTCTAAAAATTAAAAAGTCTATATAATATTTATATTTCTGTTATCTGAACTTCATTAGGCATTGATGTAATTCCATATTATCATAACTGTTACTCCATAAAAAGGCATTAATCTTACAAAACAGCACTATCAGAAATAAAATTAAATAAAGGAAAACTGTAATTAAATATTTTTATGCTTTTTTTCTAGTTTATTTATGGATAACAATAGGATGTTCGGTTGGTGGGGCTCTCATCTTAGCTCTGTTAATATCATTCTGGTACTATCTGAGAAAAAGACCAAAGATAGAGAAGCCAGTTTCTCCTGTTCCAGAATTAAATTCCAGTTCAGAAATGTATCAGACTAAACTGTAAGTTGGTTTTATTATTTAAAAAAAAAATTTTAAATCTTAAAAATTTATTTAAATTTTTATAAGGAGTTGTTCTTTTCTTAAATACTAATTTGTTAGCTCATTACATAATTGATTGGATTACATGAGATAAAAATGTATTAAGAAGATTATGCCTGTCAGAGTGGAAAATTCATTATCAGGAAGAAGGGGGAGGGAATGATGATTATAATGAAAATATGCCAAAATCACTGACAATATTACAGCTAATCCTTTTATGAGATGTTTAACTCCAGTAGAATGAGAATTGTGTTGAATAATTTATGTAGTTATGTAATTTTCTGAGGTTTATATCTGATTTTACATGCTAAATTTTCTTCTTTAATTTAATCTCCATAGCAATTATATAATTGAAGAATGAGTAAAATTATACAGATAAAACTGTAGAATTTTTATTTTTGATTTACTTGTTTACAATTGAAAGCTACAATTTAGAGTTATAACTTTTCAGATATATAATTTAAAAAATTTGTGTTGTCGCTATTCAAATTTTTCTAAGTTAAATCTGATTGCAATCAGTGCAAAATGTAGATAAGACAGGATGCAGTGTGTTTTTAAAAACAGTAATTTAAAACAGTTTCAAATGTAATGAATAATTTAAAGAAATAGAAATAGGATTTGTAGAAAGATAAAAATGGCAGATTCAAAGTGATTGATTAAAATTGGATGCTCACAGCACCATACAAAAAACATGGCAGATTTGTTACATTGTATTTTCTAATCATAGAGACTATACAATGAGCACAGGCATTTGGACATTACCTTAAAATCAATCAAATTGGGTGCAAGGCATCATTCGATTAGTATATAGTGCATTTAACATTGATTTCTATCACAGAAAAAACATGTAAACAATGTAGGAGCAAAAAAAAAAATTGGATTTCAACTTCATTTGTATCACTAAACCAAATTAGATTTCTGTATTTATAAATAATTTAAAATAATTTATTTTAAATTAAAAATAAAATAGTTCTTCTTTATATAAACCAGCTTCTTAGATAAAATAATGATTATTTTTTTTTATAAGGGAGGTTTTTTATCATCTAAAAAAGTTATATTCCCTCTAAAAAGTTACTACTAAAATAGCTAAAATTCTATCTAATAATTAGTTTATTTTGTTTTTTTTTTAAGATACAAACAACTTTTTTTT